AACCAAATGGCAAAAACGGCTGCAGTGGGAAACAGATTGCATGCAAGTCTGCTTTGAAATATTGCAAGAAACATATTGAAATCCCATTAGGGCTGATACAAAGCAAAACCTACTTTTTCCCAAGAAAAAAAAGGAAGTATAAAGAAGAAAAAATATAACATTTATAAAAATTTTGTTTTCTTAAAAAAAATTAAAAATTTTTAATTTTTCTTTAAAAAATATATATATAATTATATATATATATTTTAAAAAAATAAAGTTTTTACAAATTTTAAAGATATTGTACAATTTATTTTTTTGAAATAAACAAAAAAAATGAATTTTAAACAACGTCTTTGAAAATGAATAATTATTATATATTTTTTTATATTTTTTGTTCCGAAGAATATAAAGTAAGAAAAAATGAAGAATGGAAACAAAATAAATGAGAACGTCTAAGGGGAAAAAAATTAAAAAGAAGTCAACTTATTGGAAACACGATGTACAAACTATAGATCTAGATCTAAAGACGCATAAAAAAGTATATAGCAAAAACCATGTGGAGAAACAGAACCTCACACTTTCGAGCAGAGTTGCGATGATGTGAACTTTTTTTTCCCAAGCAAGCTCGTCTGTACCTGCTGGAATTCCAGTCGATCCCGCTGCGAACCATATCGGTTCCAAAACGCGGCTGCCCCCTTCAGCGCGCAGTCCTGGTGGTGGCACCGGGGGCCTTTTAGCAGGTGGCCATTTACCGCTGGCAGCCTCTGTAGCGGTCCGACCTGGCCGTGGCTCGGCTGGCGGCACTGCGGACCAGGCCGGGTTGGCAACGGGTGGCGGACCTGGCGGCGGCCCCCCGTGTGGTTGCCACCAACCATATCCATAGTTCCACGTCGGTGTCCACGACCAACCCCAACCATGCGAGCTTGCTGCGGCCCACGTGGCAGAGGCGCTGCTTGACGTGGAAGCGACAGCAGGACGATCGTCTCCTTTGCCATGTGCCTTGCCACCTTGCTGCTGCTTCGGGGCATGCTATAGTGTCCGTTTTACTTATAAGTAACATTATAACCTATAGTTATAAGTGAACTTATAAGTCATAACTTTCATCATAACTTTGTGTAACTTTTCACAACGGCATAAAAACTTGAATTTTGAACTTTGCTTTTTTGGTTGTTTTCATAACTTTTTCTGATCACTTTTAAAAATGTATTACAAAAGTATCGTTTTTGCAGCTTTTTTGGATCATGAAACGGCCTGCCGACGCAATGGAGCCGACTTTGCCTACGAGGCACGTTTTGCTTAAGTCGGAATGTGAAGTTTTTGTAGGAAAGCGGTTTTGACCGCTATAATGGGAAAGCATTTCTGACCGCTATAAATGGATATCTGCCTGTCGATCGCTTTGTTGCGCTGATAGGCTATCGCGACCTCTTGGTCGCATCTCTTTTGTGATCTTCAAGTCGGAATGGATCTTGGAGGATGGCCAGCTGAAATGGAAAAATCATTACGTCAACGGCAAGGTTCGCGTGTGCCTGGTCATATTAGCTAAATTTCTGTTTGTGTTGGAGTAGGTGGTATTATTTTTCAGCTGGTTTTAACATGTGCGCACACGGATCTGTCCTGAGGCGGGCTTTTGAGGAAATCTCTCCTTCATGGCCGTGCAATGATGACGAAGTGGAAATGATTAGGGCACATCTTTTGCAGAAGCTGCAAGAGTAGATGAGTTTATAAAGAGCCAGCGCGGCGAAACACGTGGGGAAACATTATCACAGCATAGCGGTGTGACCGCTGAGCGGTTGAAACCGCTGGAAGCATGAGCTGTATTTTGTGTCAGCGGTGTGTCCGCTTCATGGAAAGGTTTTTTTATAGGAAAGAGCGGTCATAACCGCTTGCTTTATTGAAGTACAGTTTTCCATATAGGGTGTGAGTTGGTTTCAACTTGCACAGTGTGGCCTTGTTTTTTCTCAAGTGGAAGGCGTATAGACAATGGCTTCTCAATTTGTGAGATCCTTGGAAGCAACTGACCTATTTCTGGGTCAGATTGCTAAGCTGCCTAGTTGCAAGCAGGTAGAAGACCAAAGGGTCAAGGTGCTTTTAGGCATCGTGGGTAAGAAAAGCCCTTGGGATGCAGAAGCTGCTGCCGTGGCATGTCAAAGCATCAATGGATGCAAGCATCTTAGCAAAGCTTCCAAGAATGCCTTGCTGAAAGAAGTTACTTTGGAACTTGGAGAAGGAGAAGCATGTGAGTCTACTTCGAGTGAATCCAAGAGAACAAAACTCCAAGACTACACGAACGTGGTGCACCTGATGCCCAAACACTTGTGGGACAGGTTGATGGATACCTACTCGAATCTGGACACCAACATGATGATGTTGTGCCACCACTGCCACCTTTTAGGCCTTTGTCACGCGAGTGAGAAGACTTACTCGACGTTGACATGTTTGCTGTTTTGGAGCCGTTGGAAAGATTCAATGCCTGATGGGAACATCAAGAATCGGGTCTTGAACATCTCCAAGCCAGTGCTGAAGCAGTATTTGCAGCAGTATCAGGAGCAAGAACCATGTGCTGCATCTCAAATGTTGCAAACTTTGCCCTCCAAGGTGAACAATCTTCCAAAACAACTTCGAATGACGTTTGAGAAGATGGAGTTTGCGCGCATGGATGACAGATTGATGGCTACTCTTGCAGCCATGCCGACCAGGGTGACCAAAAGGAGTGTTACCATGAAGCTTGGAATTTTACAAGATTTGTCTTTGAGAGATGCCTGGGTGTTGTGCCCTCGAAAACATGGTCCTGAGAGCATTGAGGATGCCGAGGGGGCAAACCGCCTTGAGATGCTTGCTTTGGCTGATGCAGATCCCGACCTTGCAGCTGATGAGTTGATCGTAAAACCCAAGCTGAAAGCTGCAGATGCTCGGACGATTTTGGGATTTGTTTTGATTGATACTCTTTCCAGTAAATGGGACAGAAGAATCATGTATACTCAGTATATATGCTACTTGTATGATACAGATTGTTTTTCATATATCATATATCATATATCCATCAATACTTTACATATAGATACTTTTGTGACACCTCATACCCCCTTAGTCATACACACCCATCATTGACTCACTTTGTTTTTGGACTTGCAGGGTCAGAAGAGCAAGGGTCCAGAAGTTGCCAGTGTCCTGGACGATTTGAAGAAGTTGGCCGATCGCAAGAACTGCATCACTGCAGAAAAGCCTGAGAAAGCTGAAATTCCTCAAAGAAAGGCCAAAGACAAAAAGAAACTAGTTCCCGAGGTCATCCCTGCGCCACCTCTGAAGCGCAGCATCCAGGAAGTTGTCAAATGTGAGGAAGCCAAGAAGCCAGCTTCAGTCCAGAAGAAGCCGGCCCCTAAAAAAAAGAAAAATCAGCCTTCCAAAGTCAAGGCGCCAAAGGTGCCTAAGAAGCAGGAACCCAGACCCATTCCTGCCTGGTGGAATGACAAGCAAGAGCTTTTGAAATCATTTCCAGAGGACACCGAGAAGCGCTTTGCCTCCAGGTGCTACCACTTTGTGAGGAAGAATGAGATGCGCAAAGGTGTCTCCAAGGACCTGGCTACCTTGACGGCACAAAGGGCTCACCAAGAAGCCAAAGATCGTTGGCCGAAGCTGTTTCCCAACGCATAGAAAAACCTATGCATGTTGGATGAATCTTGGGAGAAATTCGATGTTGAACATTGATGGATGCTGGGTGTTGTCTTTGACATTTGACGCTGCAGCTGCCCTCAGTGATGTTGAAAAAAGGAAAAAGCTCTGAATGGGTGAGCGGTGCAAACCGCTTTGGGGGTATGTCCGCTTTGTTCACTGTCAATGGAAAATAGTTTCGAGGTGCAGCTATGAGGCATTGCTACCGATGTGGTAGCTTCTTCCTGTCTTGGATAAGTGGCAAGTGGTTATAGCGGTGTTGCCGCTGTATATTGCCATATGGTGATGAAACCTCTTTCCTAGACATTTGGTCTCAAGGTCAGCGCTGTAGCAGTAGCAGGTCGAGCCACTCGGTGACAATGGCCATTGTGGACAACCAACTTGGAGACACGCAGCTGTATCCTGATCAACCTGGTGCCGGTGAGTGCACACCACGCAAGAAGGAAGCAGTGGATCAGGACGCTGTGGCAGAGACAGTTGAAGTTAAAGACAGCCAAGACGGTTTGCCCCCTGCAGAAGCTGCTGCAGAAAGTGGAGGTGAAGAGCAGCCTGATCAGGAAGCGGAAAAACCCGCTGAGGAAGTGCAACCCGCTGAGGAAGCGGCGCCATCCGCTCCAAGTGCAGCCTCAGGACTGGCAGGCCAGGAGCCCATGCCTGTTGAGCAGTTCGACTGGTCCACTTTGAAGAAGTTACCAGCCAACTACTGTGGAAGTTGCCGAATGCCAGTGGAAGCAGATCCCACCAAGAGGGTCACCAAGAAAGGGCATGCAACGCTGAGTTGCAAGACGTGCCACAACGTCACGACAATGCTTTACAAGCGCACCAACATGCAGACCGTGGGCTTCAAGGACATTCCACCTGCACAGGCATGGGTTTTGCAAAATGCCTTTGGAAAAGTTTATGTGTTTTCAAAAAAGGCCACAGGTTTGAAACCAAGCGGTTTAAGACCGCTATAGATTAGTGACCCTGTGTGCTTTCACCATGCAGGCTGCTGACTTCTTTCAGAAAGCTGGCCAGCTCTCTGAGAAGTACGGCAAACTGGAATGGTCTCACCTCAAGGGACTGTTGCAGGACAAGCTGGTGGAGCAGGAGGTGCACAGGCAGACTGTTGCTGTGCGTGGCAAATTTCTGCCGTTGTCTGTTTGGGAGCAGAAGGGCTTCGACACAGATCGCATTAAGCAGAATGCCGAGAAGCAGAGAAGTGACATCTTCGATTGGGTTTACCGTGTGCCCATCCTCGAGATCAGCCACGAGAAAGTCACTGAAGAGGTGCGTCAGCGCTTGCTACAAGCTGAGCGCAAGGTGGGAAAGCGCAAAGCCAGCCAGCAAATGGAAGACGAAGACGTTGTGGACTTGGAGGTTGACACGAAGGACTGGGACTCCATCTCCTCAGATGATGGTTCTGGTGGGTCCAAATCGAAGCCTAGAAAGGCATGTGCACCCAAGGCAAAGAGCAAGACGAAGAAGGTGCCCCAGGAAAAGAAGGATGAAGCCAAGAAGGCCAATGCGGTGGTCCTTGGAAATGCCAGGAAGGCTATCAGGTTGTTGGATCCTGTGGCCAAAGAAGCCAAAAAGGCTTGCAAGGACGTGAACTGCACGGATGAGCTCAAAGCGGAGATGGAAGGGCTTCTGAAAGTGTTGAAGGAGGCAACGCAGATCACCGCAGATCACCAAGAAGCACTCCCAGGCCACTTCGGAGGGCAAGATCTTGGAAGACATCAGCTTGACGGTGCAGCAGGTGAAGGAGCTCGATGCCATGGTGAAGGGCAAGGCATCGGCGGTCGTCGACTTGGCCAAGATCTTGTCCAACATGGGCGACGGAGCGGTGCAGAAGCTTGCTGAGGCGGCTGCCAGACGAGCCAATGCGTCTGACGTTGAGTGAACTAGTGTTTATTTTCCATACTGCTCTTGCAGCCTTCGATTGCCTGTAAATTAGACAGGCAGTTGCGTCGCTGCCAATTTGTATCTGGACAAGACATGGGGGTACACACAAGCTCATTGTGGTGAAAGGCTGCTGTTGTACACAGCAGCTGCGTGATAAGCGGTGTGTCCGCTGAGCAGTGTGTTCCGCTGCATGCATGAAACCTTGAGTTGCATTTTTTGGCAGCGGTGTGTCCGCTGAGCGGTGTGACCGCTGAGCGGTGCGTACCGCTGCATGAAACCGTGAGTTGCATTTTTTTGGCAGCGGTGTGTCCGCTGAGCGGTTATAACCGCTGTACCTTTTCTTTTGCATTTTTTTTGAAAACGATCTTTGAATCGTCTTTCATGTGCTTCTCAGGTTTGCACAACAGATGATCCAAAACATTAAAACCAAAATTTTCATCCAGGGTTTTATGGTCAAACTGAGACAATGTTTGTACCACCGCAACTGTATATGCACTGTCAGGTCAGGTAAGAGTTTGATCTTACCAAGGGCATTTTGCCCAACACTGTCACCACGACCAACAGCATCACATACAAGTGAACCAACAAGGTCAACATGACATGGAACACCAACAGTTCAAATTACAAATGGTATTGTGAATGAGCCAACTTCACCTTGACACGTGCATGCCATCAGTACAGGTGCCGTGGATTTGCGGCTCTAGGCCCATGGATTTCAGCTTGTTGGAAAAGCACATGGCGTTTGGAGGCGGCTGTGTCGCTCCTGCATTCGTTTGATCTTTTGGTTGCACCATCATCTTCTACCAGTTCACATTGGTAGCGGAGCCACCCGGGGGGCTCGATAATACCCCGGGACGGTCCAGGACAAGGACATTGGCAAGTGGAGGAGACTGGTGGTGCGTCATTAGCAGTTGCTTTCGATGCCTGCCACAACGCCTTTAGGTCCGGGGATGGATGAGGAAAGTGGTGATGGGGGCCCTAGCAGTGCGTCAAATTCTGGGGATGCTACTCATGAGGGGCAACGGGAAGTCACCAATGACTCATCTGGACCATGGACTGATGCAGAATGGGATGAGTGGATGGCTAGGAGAAGAACATGGTACTCTTGGCCCCCAACAACTACTACCCCCTCCGGTGGTGATGGTTCAGCTAGCCGTGATGCTTTTGTTTCTAGCGACCCATGGCAGTCCCAGGGTGACACTTGGGGAGCAAGCGCAAATCGTGAAGATGACCGTATGGGGGGTAGTGACAAAATCAGCGTGCCTGAATTCTCAGGTGAAGATGACAAAGATGGCATGGTGACCCGTGGCTATCTTCGCAAGGTGGCAGCTTGGAGAAGAATGACAAGGTTGAGGCCAAACAAACAGGCGCTGGCCTTGTACAACAACCTCACCGGCAGGGCATGGAGGGATGCTGAGGAGCTCGACTTAGCCTTGTTGGATAGTGTGAACGGGGTTGATGTCTTCACTCAATGGGTTTCCGAGAAGTACCTGGACAAGGAGGTTGTCAAGGTTGGCAAATGTATGTTGGAGTTTTTCAAGCACCTCAAGAAGGGGTATGGCCAGGAGATTCGCGACTTCAACCAGGAGTATGACAGGCAGGTCTCACGTCTTAAAGAAGTTGGTTGTAGCCTCCCTGACTTGTGCTTGGCTTGGCTCTATGTGGACAAGCTCCGTCTTGAGAATGGGGCGGAACTCAACCTCTTGTCTTCTACTGGAAATAAGTATGAACTCTCCAAGCTCCAAGATGCTGCTGTGATCCAAGATCGCATGAACCGCCGTCTTTGGGAACCTCGAAAGTACGGGGACAAGGACAAAAAGGGTTCACACCATGCCCATGTCACTGAGAACGCGGAGGCAGAGGAGGATGACGAGGGCGACATGTCGGAAGGTGAAGATGAGATGTTCCCTGAAAGCGACGAGGAGACCCAGGAGGCCTATGTCACCTTTCAGAACGCCAAGTCCAAGTACCAGGCGCTGCTCAAATCTCGGGGCACTGCGACGAATCAGACCAGCAAGGAGGATCGAATCAAACAGGCCAAAGCCCGTTCATACTGCTCAGCATGCAAGCGTCGAGGCCATTGGCATCGAGATCCAGAGTGTCCACTTTACAAGGGCAACAAAGGTCCTGCTCAACCTGCTCAGGTGTCTCATGTTTGTGAGGTTTTTCATGCTGGTCGCACCGAGACTGCCGAGATTGTTGCGATCACCGACAGTGCCTGCAGCCGTTCTGTGGCTGGAAGTGAGCGGATCAAGCGCCTTCGTGAGAATGCATTGGCCAAAGGCCATCACTTTGAAGTAGTCCCACAACATGAGCAATTCAAGTTTGGTGGAGACAAACTGTTTCTGTCGAAGAAAGCTTGGTGTTTTTGGCTGAACATATGTGGAAAGTGGTTTATTTTGAAGGTGTCTGAATTAGATACCGATGTGCCTTTGCTTTTGAGCCGCCCAGCATTGGCTCAGTTGGGCATGCGATACGACTTGCCAGCCAACATGGCATCCTTTGAAGCACTCAATTTGACTGAGGTGCCTTTGCAAACCACTTTGACCGGCCTCCCAGCTGTGCCGGTTGCTTCCAGTTCTAGCCCTGCCCCACGATGGCCAAAGGGCATCAAGTGGGACCTAGTTGAGATCTTTGTACCGTCCGAGAAGGTGGCATACATGGTGCGTCATGCGGGTGATGTTGTGGAAGCCCCCAAGAAGCTGTTCTACCCCAAGAAGATGGACCCTATGGTTATGCACAATCTATCTGCTGAACACCTTTGCCCAGAATGGTTTCAGGGTTGGTGGCGCGAAAACAAAATTTTGAGGGATTTTTGGATTGAGGGTGACTTCTACATCGATCGCATACATGTCATTCCCAGAAGAGACCCTTTTGATCCTCGAGATTGGCAAACAAGTGATGGTGGTTTGAAAGAATGTCTTCTTATTTCCCTTGGCGATACACGCATGAGTACATGTATACCCTGCACTTCCTCTGGAAAGCCGTTCATGATGTCAAATGCTTGGAGGTTTGAGGTCAAGGTCAAAGGACAACAACTTTGGATTGGACGAAGCCGTTTTCTTAGGCCTCAAGTAGCTGGTGCACTTCAATCACGTTCACCTGGGAGCCCAAACCCAGGTGATGTCCAAACCTGTTTCAGTATGGAAGATGCGGCGTGCGGAGCTTCTAGAAGCCTTGATCGACATGAACGTGAAGTACGACCCAAGCATGACAGTGCCGGAGCTGAGGTCGATCTACATGGAGGCCCGTGGACCTCAAGGGAAAACTGGTTTGGGGTTGACAAAGTGCAGCGTCGACCAACTGAAGGAGCGGTGCTTGGAGGAGGGATTGGAGATACCACCAAAAGCCACACAGGGTCTTCTGATGAGGATGCTGCGCTACAGTATGGAGACCACGGGAGACAGCGAGGTGACCTTCGGGCAGTACAAGAACTACTTGTTCAAGGAGGTGCCGAAGGACTACTTGGAGTGGGCCATCACGGAATGGAGCACGTCCAACCAGTGCAGCCCCGACCTGGCTCGTCTGGCTCGATGGGCCGACCGTCAAAAGCAGGGAGTGGGCCGCGCTCAGGGCTACGGAGCCAAGTCCTCGAAGGACCCGGAGCTGACGGCAAAGACCAAACCACCCCCTGTGGTCCACAACGTTCGTCCTCGTGCACAGCCCAAGGAGAAGAACGTGACACCGGCGCGAAGATCAAAGACCAGGCCTTTGGAGGAATCCGACGATTTCTCTATGGTGTCTTCGGTGGACGGCCCCATGTCTACAGAGGAGGAAATTCACGAGCTGCAGGAACGCCTCAAGATCCTGCAGACCGTCAAGATGGCAGAGGATGCTGCAAAGACCGCTGTGCCGAGGGACGGAAGTTTGGAGAGTCAGTGAAAACGAGTGACTATGAGAATGTGGACGTCTTCGGCAAGAGCACCGACCTCAAAGATGTGGGGGGATCATCACTGGCCTATGTGACTGAGAATAACAAGGTTTCAAGCTATGAGGTGGGCAGGGTTCCACACTATGAGGATGAGTATAACCTGGCCGCTGATGAGCCCTACGGCAAACATGTCCCTGAGGCGATGGAGTTCCAGCTCATCTACGGTGGTGACTACAAGGAAACCCGGAAGCTGTTAAAAGATGAGATGCGCTGCAATGTCAAGAAGAAGGTGAAGTCATGGGTGGCCAAAGTCATGATTGCTTTGGCAACTTTGGTCGCTGTATGGGCGTTTCCTTTGCACGCTCCTGCACCTCACCTCATTCCCAATGCTGAGGATGTGACGAACTCCAACACCACGGATCACTGCCGTGAATTCCCTTGGATGGAGCCGCCTCGCACCAAGTGGAGCACGTGGCAATGTTTAGACCGCCACGGCCAAAAGCAAACTTTTGGGTTTGTCCAACAAGAGGTTTCGGGAGAGAGCCATCTTCGAAAACTCATGACATGGATCCATTCTCATGGAGTATATCATGGTGATCTTAGCAGTAGCTGTCAAAGTGATCATGTGCATGCTCCAACAGCCTGTCGTAACACCCGTGCCGCAGGTATCTACACCTACGAGTTCTGCGGAGCTTTGGGGGAATGCCACAAGTCCGAGATTGTGCCCAGATGTTGGACGTCCTTTCCTGCTATTGGAGATGGGGAGCTCAGCGATGCCCATGAACCTAGTACACCTTTGCAGGGATCAGATATCTTCGTGGATGGTAGTGATGTCAACATGGAACCACATGAACTACATGATAAAGTACATGGCGGTGATCAACATGTTTCACATGGTGTATTTGTAGGTGATGACCCGATGCAGATTGACTCCTCAAGTAAGGAATGTTTGCCTGAAAACACTTTTCACCTACATGTTGGAAAACGTGCAGCTCAAATCCTGTCCAGGTGGAAACGACATCAAGGACATCTTCGACCTCCAGAACATGCATGGCATCTTCGTCTTGCAGGCCTTGGGATGGAGGGGCATGAGTTGCTGGTTTTACCATTGTCCAGCGAACCTCTGTGCAATGATGCGGTGAGGGGCGTAGTTCCGATAGTTTTTCTGATGACTTGCAAGCCTCTTTCCGGCTTGATCCATTGGGTCGAAGAGCCAAACGCTCTTCTTGCGAAGAGGTTGATGGTTGATTGGGCAGCGCTTGAACAACTTATTTCGTTTGTTTTAGCTGTGGCTGCTGGTTGGGAAGTTGTTTTCGATGATCCCAGGATGATGCGCTGGGTCCCAACTCAATTTCAATCAGCAGACATTCCCATCAAATTATAGAGACCGATGTACAAACCTGGTGGGACATGCTGCGAAACCTCCAATTATCTCATTTCTGTGTCAAGGTGAACTTTAAACGTTGGGTGTGTGAATGAGCCAACTTCACCTTGACACATGCATGCCATCAGTACAGGTGCCGTGGATTTGCGGCTCTAGGCCCATGGATTTCAGCTTGTTGGAAAAGCACATGGCGTTTGGAGGCGGCTGTGTCGCTCCTGCATTCGTTTGATCTTTTGGTTGCACCATCATCTTCTACCAGTTCACAGGTATATTATCAATTCTTGTTCAAACTTACCAACATTTTCAATCATCTGAACTCACAGACTGTATTGGCAATCTTACTTACATCAAGTCACAGTTTCATTTTACATCTGATACATATTTCACAGATCAGTTTCAGTTTCGCATCAACTGATCGCACAGTTTCAGATTCCCCTCTGTGAAGCTATGGAGTTTGATGAGGCGTTTGCCATGGCTATGCAGATGCAGGAAGATGAAGCTGATGAGTTCTACAAGTCATGGCGTCAAGCGGAGCGCCAGTTTGCGACATAGAACTGCTACGCAGGACCCTTACCAGGTGTCTCTTGGCTTCAACTCAACGGCATGCCTTTTGATATAACTCGATCACAAGAGTTCTGGATAATGAACTTTCCAATCTGATATGTGTAATATACCGCGTATACCACACCCAAATGTGACCCGTATACCACCGTATACCAATCGTATACCAACCGTATGCTACTCGTATACCACACCCGCATGTGACCCGTATACCACCGTATGCCAACCGTATACCAATCGTATACCAATCATATACCAATCGTATACCAATCGTATACCACACACGCATGTGACCCGTATACCACCGTATACCATCGTATACCATACCAACATACCACTGTATACCACCGTATGCCATCGTATACCACCACAACTCACCGTATACCACCGTATGCCAATCGTATACCAACCGTATGCCAATCGTATGCCACACAGGGTGCATGACTGACAGATTGTCACAACTTAAGGATATACAGACCACCAGTGGAAGCTCTTGCCCAGGCTGGAAATAAAAGAGGAACATGACAGTGCAGATGGAGATGAACCTGGTGAACCTGCAAGTTCTTCCAACAATCCATTGGCATGGAAGGCTTTGGAGAATGAGCTTTTGGCGGCAGACTACGAGGAGATGCAGGAAGATGAGATCTGCCAAGAGGATGCTGGAGGAGACACTGAGATTCTTGTCTTGGAATTTATTTTTCAGAAAGCGGTTTCTTACCGCTCTTAATTCAAAGCGTCTTTTTACCCCATCAGTTTTTCTGAGAGATGTTTTTTTAGTTCAACTCCTTCCTCATAGAAAGCCTGTTTTCTTGGGTAATCGTGCCCTGAGGTTTGAAAGTGTCCCAATTCTTCGCAATCTCAGGACGTTGACTGGTGATCAAATGAGGGAACTGTCACTTGGCCAGAATTTCGCAGTGTCCACTGTATAACTGTCAGGTTGATAGCAACAAGGGGTATCCCATAAAAGTTTGGGGGATGAACTTTACACCAATGCCCTAAACAAACTGGAAATGAGGAAAAGCGCAGCGGCTCCATCGACAAGGGCCCAGGAATTGCCACTGCCACCGCAGCTCGTTTGACGGTACAGTTTGAAAATGTTTTGACTTGTTCCAAACAAATGTAACCCACCAAAACCATAAATTTGCGGTTGAATTTAAAACCGACCAGAAGCTATCTTGAAAATACATTAGTTTTCTGTTGCATCTGGCCCAACGTTCCGAGGATCAATGTGAGTAGTTCGACAGCTCTGGGTGCCAGGCCCAAGGCCAAGCCTATGCCGCCTGCGGAGGACATAAGTCCAAGACAGCAGCTTTTGAGGAATGCCAGGTTGGCGCTTCGTCCGCTTCACTTGCAACGTCTTCGAGAAGAAGGCCTGCATGAATACCTTATGAAGCCCAAGGCTCATTTTGTTTTCGGGTGTCCTTGGCCACCGGGACATCCTTTCGGGACCAAGAATGAGGTTGAAGCGTTGAAGCACGCTGGTTGAAGCGTTGAAGCACGCTGAGAAGGTTCACCACTACGAACCCAAGACGTCTGCTGAAGGAAGAATGCTCAGTTTGGAGGAGTTCCTGAACAGTTTTCCCAAGAATCAACAGAAGAAGAAGAAGAAGGAGGAGGAGGAGAAGGAAAAAAACACAGTGCCGGTGCCATCCCGAGGAAACTTGCAGCCACGGACGCCAACACCAAGACCAACTTCCAGGCCAAGTTCTACACGAGACAGACCAAGATCACCTTCAGAGGAACCACCAAGGTCGTCTACATGGGACCCGCCAAGTTGGTCTACATGGGGCACACCAAGTTCGTCTACATGGGAGCACAAGTTCGTCTACATGGGACACACCAAGTTGGTCTACATGGGACACACCAAGTTGGTCTACATGGGACACACCAAGTTGGACTCCTGCAGAAGGACAAGAAAATTCCAACCTTCCAGCTGCATTTCAAAACCTTGTAGCAGAAGATCCCCGCCCAGCAGCCAACCCTCCAGGAGATGCCAACCTTGCAGCAAAATCAAATCGGCAAGAGTATCTTGAGAGGAATGGGAAAAAGAAAAAGAGAGGTGGCAAGAACAAAGATTGGTATTGTTCCAAGTATGGCAAAGGCCACGACACGCAGTGAGTGAGATCCCAAGTCGCGCTGAAAAAATCTTGCTGCTGCGAAGCCTTGGTATGAAAGTAACTCAAAAGAAATAATGTAGCCAACAAGTTTGCAGTATCACCTTCAAAAAATGAGCTTACCTCAAGTTATACTTTATTGGTGATCTTTTTGGGTGTCATTTTGCTATGCACCAGTTTGGTTCCAAAGCCATGTCCATGAAAGGGGTAGCGGCTGTTGCCGCTGTAGGTAAACTGATAGGTTGAGCGGTGTTGCCGCTGTATGTAGGCAGCAGTAGCTAGGTTGAGCGGTGTTGCCGCTGTAGGTAGGCTGAGCGGTGTACCGCTGTAGGTGATCTGCTGTGTCAAACTTTGGGATGCCATTTATATGTTCCACATGGCCCCTTGGGTCGATCTAGAATAGAACGATTCAAAACGGTAATTTGACAAGCAGAAGAACACTTATGCATGTTGGGCTTCTTTTCTTTTCCAAACGAGGTTTCTGTCCAAGCGTTTTGCATTACGGTATTCAAACCGTCCTTTGTTTATCTTTGGACAAGTTGTCTTCTGCCATGGCAATAGGTGTTCAAACCCATATTGCCATTGTACCGTTCTCAGTCAATTGTGCTTCTCGTGCAGCATGTCTTTGACTCCGCGGGAAGCATGGGAAGCGAAGATCAGAGAGATGGGCATCCTGATGTCGCTGCACTCCAGCATTGGCTTTATCCATCACCAACTTGTGGAGGCAATCTATCAGCTTCAAGATCTCCAGACGGTGACTGGTGAAGGAAATGCTCAGATCGTTGTAGTGGGGCAGGCCAAAGAGACAGTTGACCAGGTGAGGCTTTGGCTGAACGAACGGATAACCACAGTCATGGATGAAATGTATCAGATCCAATCGAGACTGCCGGCTGCACCTGCTGATGCTCATGCCTGATCGATGGTAAAAAGCGACCTCATGCAGCTGAACTTTGGTCAAGTTTGCGTTTAATGAATGGTCACTCTCTCCCTCTCTCTCGCCTTCTCTCTGCATAGAATCGATGTGTATTTTCAAGCTATATTATTGTTTCACGTCATACTCTCTGCAATATTTTCATGAGATTAAAAAACGCAAAAAGGACCTGCTCAAGTACTGATCAAGATCGGGTTGAGCGGTGTTGCCGCTGTAGGTAGGCTGAGCGGTGTGTACCGCTGTAGGTAAGTTGAGCGGTGTTGCCGCTATAGGTCTGTAGGTAGACTAAAACCAGGGGTGCATCGTGGCCGGGAAATGCCAAGAAGAGCAGTGCCTCACACATTTTTTGGGTGTAGCGGTGTGACCGCTGAGCGGTTATAACCGCTGAAAGCATGAGTTGTATTTTTTGGCAGCGGTGTGTCTGCTTCATGTCATGATGGTCGCGCCACGTTTTTGGGACGTTTGTTTTTTTAAAATAAACTCTCGTGGAATTATAGTGATGGCATTTCCATGCTGCGTTCCATGGCATTTCCATTTAAAATAAACTCTCATCAAAGGAGTGGAACTTGGCCTGTGATGCGTTTCACAGGAAATAACAAAATGCACATAAACACGGGCAAGCCCTAAAGGTGCATGTATCATGATGCCACCACAGTGCAAATCAATTGCATATATGTTGCTTGGTTTCTTTTTGGACACAGGTCTTTTCGAATCCTGGGTCATAAGACCTATATAATCCATCATGTCGTCTGGTGAACAATATCAAACTGTTGCATCACTTCGAATGATGTCAGTTCATCCAGTATATAATAGCCAGTTTTTGTCATGCCATGCCATGCGAAAGCGCAAAGTCGATGAATATTTTGAATGCTATGGCATCCCTGGCGTCAGTGATTCGGCTATTCGCAAAGTTGTTTCAAGACTGAAAAAGCAAAAGGAAGATTCCCATGCGCATAGTTTCAAAGAAAGGTTCCAACACCTAGATGGAGCACTACTTCGTGAAGAAAAAATGGCATTTACACTTTCAACCTGCAGTTCTACATCGATACTTTGTGTCAGAAGTCAACAAATTTTACCGACTTGTTGAGGCGAACAGTGCTGAAGACCATGCCAATCAAGAAGCCATCCCAGGATGCCTTTACGCAGATGAGG